TGGTGTACCCCCTTCACTCAACATTGTCCAATGAGGAGCAGCAAGCAGTTTTTAGCCGGCCTCCAGATGGTGTCACAAAGATCATCATCTCCACCAACATTGCTGAGACCTCAGTAACCATCGACGACGTGGTTTATGTCATCGACTCCGGAAAAATGAAGGAGAAAAGGTAACCTTCTATTATGCTAGCCCTAAATTCTCATTTTTGACAGTTTCGGGTTGTGAATTCAGTGTTGGGAAGGTTACTTTTAAAATGTATTCCACTACAGATTACAGAATACATGCCCCAAAATGTATTTTGTAACGTATTCTGTTATGTTACTCAATGAGAGTAACGTCTTCTGAATACTTTGGATTACTTAATATATTATTATGCTTTTTTACAACTACATGAATGTGATTTATTACTATTACTGAAGGTTACTCGCCATACCAATACCGACCAGATTTTTAAATCTTAATATAAAATGAGTAACAGTAGGTGGACATTAGGTCAGGCTGCAGTTTTTGCAGCGATCTCGTATAGTAAACTATTCCGCGCGTATATAAAACAGGTCCGCGGCTCTGAACCGTAGTAAAGGGACCTCTGGCAAATACATCAGGTTCATGTCGGGCTCGTAGCCGAAAACCATCTTTACTTTGCTGTCTGGGTCAACTTTGCTAGCGAGAGACAGAGAGAGGCGTTGAAAGGCTGCTCCAAAGGAACTTATTGTTTCGGAGGAAAACAGAACAGTGTACAGTCGAGTCTTAATAGTTAACTTACAGCTGGGCTCGTCAGGCACTCCTTTTGGCTGCAGTGGTTATTATTATATTTACATGCTTCCAGCTTTCGGCTCGGTGATAACTCGTACTTTTCCACTCTCCTTTTTCTCCGTCCCTCTCGCTCACAGACACATAACGGGTATGGCAGTCCATTTTCCCTGCAGCACGGACTACACTGCCCATGATGCTACATTGTTTAGGGCTATGCCTGTAACACTCTGCCTATTGCATTCATGTTAGAGAATTTAAAAAAATATTTCTTCACGTCATCTTAATGCGTGTTTTGTTTGCATTTCCACCGGTGTGGAATTACCAAAAATAGAGAGGGCATAGCCTAACATATGAAACAGGAAAAAACCACGGTGTAATCCATTTATTTCAACAAAGTAACTGTATTCTCAATACCACCTTTTTAAACGGTAACTGTAACGCAATACAGTTACTCATATTTTGTATTTTAAATACGTAACGGCGGTACATGTCTGTGACGGTTCTCAGTCATCCAGGTCATCGTAGTCTAAGGAGCTTGGAAAGAAAAGCTCATGTGATTAGGTAGAGGATCATCGGGGGTCCCTTGTCCCTCTTTGGGGGGAAACTCCCACTGGGTTTTAAATCTGGGACTCTCCACCCTTGACCCTTAGAACTGAAGAAGCTTCTCGGATGAGAGGTGAAACGTCTTCAAGCAACTCAAAGAAGTCCAGATGCTTTTCTTTCCAAGCTCCTTAGACAACGGCGGTACATGTATTCCATTACTCCCAACACTGTGTGAATTATACTTTTTGTTTTTTTAAAAGGCCCATGCAATCATATTAAAATGGTTTTGTGATACATGAAGATGCACTGATATATGCTCAAATCCACAAATCTCTAAGTCTCCCTTGATATATATATATTTTTTTCTTTCAGGTACGATTCATCTAAAAGCATGGAGAGCCTGGAGGACACGTGGATTTCTCAAGCTAACGCGCTGCAGAGAAGGGGTCGAGCAGGTCGTGTGGCCTCGGGGGTCTGCTTCCACCTCTTCACCAGCCACTGCTTTAAACACCAGCTGGCTGAGCAGCAGCTGCCTGAGATCCAGAGAGTGCCACTAGAGCAGCTCTGTCTCCGGTAGAGCCGTCTGTTTTTCCCACATAACTCTGACTATAAAATGCAAATGGCATTTGATTTGGAGAAATTCCAAAACGGTTGTTCACAACACTGACCTTTCTGTAACAGAATCAAGATCCTGGATGTGTTCGCGGAGCAGCCGCTGGAGTCAGTCTTCTCTCGGCTCATCGAGCCCCCGTCAGTGGGAAGCTTGGACGCTGCCAAGCAGCGCCTTCAGGACCTGGGAGCTCTGACCACAGATGAGAAGCTGACCCCGCTGGGCTACCACCTGGCCTGCCTGCCTGTCGACGTGCGCATCGGAAAGCTCATGCTGTTCGGCGCCATCTTCCGCTGCCTTGACCCAGCACTCACCATTGCTGCAAGTCTGGCCTTCAAATCCCCATTTGTAAGAAGGCGCTAGTTTCTGTTGAGAGACGCTATGTGCAGTTCATCTGCAGCATGCCCCTGATTTTAGGCTCATTAACAATTACAAGTATAGTACACAGCGCAGTAATGAGCTGCTTCATCTTTTCTGTTGGTTTTTAACAGAAAGGAGGTTACATAATGACATTTATTTGTTTATTATGTATATTTGTAATGCAAGTGTCTAATTTTATGGAAATGAAAATCTGGTCTGCTTCCAGGTGTCTCCATGGGATAAGCGAGAGGAAGCAAATAAAAAGAAAATGGAGTTTGCAGTGGCTAAAAGTGACCATCTAGCTTTGTTGCAGGCATACAAGGTCCCTACTGCGTTCGCTTATTGTGATAAGATAATTCAAAGATGTTGAAATACATACAGATAATATAAAAACTTTCTTTTTTTTTATGCAGGGATGGTGCTCCGCAGCAAGGAATGGCCACCGCGCCAGCTTCCTCTACTGCAGGGAGAACTTCCTGTCATGGCGGGGTTTACAGGTGAGGCAGTGGTGTCCAGAAGCACTTAATCACTTGTCCAGAATCAATAAACTCACTTGCTCTACAGTATAATTCTGATCTTCTCTGTTTGAATATAAATCTAAAGCAGTGCTAAAGCTTATGAAGTTCTTCCAATGTATTCAGATTTAATTTCAAATGGCCCGAGCAGTGTGTTTTATATGAATAATATTTGAAATGGTGAATTGTGACCTTTGGCAGGAGATCGCCAGTCTGAAGAGGCAGTTTGCTGAGCTGTTGTCTGACATTGGCTTCATCAAGGAGGGACTGAAGGCCAGGATTATTGAGCAAATGTCTTACAAGGGTACAGACGGGGTCATGGAAGCTACTGGCCCTGAGGTGACACATACAAATCACTGAATCAGTGATTCAAGGGTTCATCTTGGAGAAAATAATTCAAAAATTCTAATATTTTGCATCTCAGGCAAACCTAAATTCCAGTAACATCCGGCTGATGTCCGCCATGCTGTGTGCTGCCCTCTATCCTAACGTGGTCCAGGTGGGCATAGTCCCCCTCTTTGTCATACAAGTAAAGAACAGAAAGCCAAACAGAAGTATGAAACATTCACACTTGATGTCCTGCAGGTACGAGCTCCTCAAGGGACTTATAAGAAGACGGGCACGGGAGTGATGAAGATGCAACCCAAAGCCAACGAGCTCCGCTTTGTGACCAAGAACGACGGTTACGTCCACGTGCATCCATCATCCGTCAACTACACGGTGAGGTTAGGGGGGGGAAAAAAGATACGCTCCAAACTAAACAACTTGTAGGAGAAATAAGCCTCACCTTTCTGTTCTTTATGCACCAGGTTCGCCACTACGACAGCCCGTACCTGGTTTACCATGAGAAGGTGAAAACGAGTCGCGTTTTCATCAGGGACTGCAGCATGGTGTCTGTTTACCCGCTGGTGCTGTTTGGATGCGGACAGGTCAACGTGGAGCTGCACAGAAGGGAGTTTGTCATCTCCCTGGATGATGGGTGGATCCGATTTGCTGCTGCTTCACACGAGGTCAGAGAATCTGATATTTTTTTTTTTTTTTTGATCACATGATCAAAGAGTTATAGCTGGCTCAGATCTTAGTATTGCAACGGGCGTACAAGCTGTGTAGAGTTTATATGCTTTAAAGGTTTAACAAGTTTTATGGAGAGTGCAAGCACGACAACTGAACAACTACAACATATAAGTTAACATATATGTTACTACATGTGCTTGTGTGACTATATCCAGGTGGCTGAGCTTTTGAAGGAGCTGCGCTGGGAGCTGGACCTGCTTCTGGAGGATAAAATCAAAAACCCGAGCATGGACCTGTGCAGCTGCCCCCGTGGCTCCAGCATCATACAAATGATCGTCCACCTCATCTCTACAGAGTAGCTCTGCTACTCAAAGCTTCCTTTATTATTTCTTTATTTAAAGGGCTCAGATGCATGGAGCCCCAGTGATAATGTTTTTGTGCTCCTGCATCACTCCCACAAAGTCTTTATTAAAAATTCTTTAAAAAGTCAATATTACTGCATTGATGGTGGATAGTCAGAGGAAGATTAGCTGGGCAAATATTTGACATGAGCTCAGTTTCAGTACACCAGTGTTGCCACCTTACACTTAAAAGTGTTGTTTTCCACTGAGTTGCTGTTGCACTCAAGGTTTTTAAAGCAAATTCTGCCTTTAAAGAAAAAAATGTCTCTATGCAGGTGATTATTAAGATTCCACTCTTATTCCTGCTGGACTAAAGCAGCTAATGCTTCGTTCAGTTTTTGATGTCATACTACCGCTGCATGGTATGTGCACATAAATTGGCACATGATTGGTTGTTAAGTGATGTCACAGAGTTTGTATACAGTGGTTTTTTATTTTGGGTTGTGTCTTGCTCACAACTGAGAAGTTTCTTGGGTCCATATTGGATTTTGTACTGTGAGTTTATTTGTAATGCATGACTAAAAGATCCAAGAGCTTCTGCATGGTATACAGTTGGTGTACATTTACTGAATGTATTTAAATGTTAAAGTACAATTTCACAATGTGAATGCAAGGGCTTTTTACACCAGGATGATTTGGTGAGAGCTGCCAAAGAAACTGGAAAGCTACTGTCTTAACATGAATTCCACTGAACGCTGCACTACCATTAAATTATTGCGATGATAACCTGCTGTTCGCTGTTTTTCTTCCTTACTTAATGTAAGCGGTGTGTGCTGTTTGATGCCCAGCTGTGTCTCAGATACAGCAAAAGAATTTAAGCTCCGGTGGAAGGCCAACCCCCTTCATACATGAGCAAGTCCAGTCTGTTTCTACGACAACAGGATGTAAACAGATGGGGTATCACTGTCACCGCTGAAGCCATTCGAGTGCCACTTAAAGTGCCAAGGCGAGAGCTGGTATGAAATGATTGTATTTTATTATCATTTTAGGCACTTTGTCCTAAAAACTTTAAATCTTTTTTGGCAGAGAAAAACCTGATTTCTTGTTTTACAGATGAAAATCTGATCACTTACTGAAGCAAGATTGACATTCGCTATGGTAAAGTAAAAAGTAAAAAAAAAAAAGACATTTATAGATGAGTGATTAAACCACGTATTTTCTCCAAAGCCCACCAGGAAATCAAGATCCCACAGTTCCAAGTCAGCCAAGAAGACTATGAGCCCAAAGACACCTAAAAAGAGGTCCTCATGTAGTGCCAAAGTCACCACAACCGAGGTGGACATCCTCAGCCCAGCAGCCATGGAGAATATCTACTACATTGCTCACAATGCAGCAGACTGCCTGGAGTTCAGAGGATTTGGGTGGCCAAATTCAAAGAAGAAAAAGAAGGGGACAAAACGAAAGAAAAACTGAATCATAAATTTTGCCAAAGAGAATTTTAACTGCCTTCCAATGGTGACACCTACTGGATGGATTTGAGATGACAGTTTGAGGCAGTAAATAATTAATTCTAGTAAAACTTACTGCATGAGACTTCACTATATTCAACTTTATTGTATGGTTCAGAATGTTTGTACAACAACAATAAAAACTTTGGCAGTTATTGTGAGGTGTGTGAAGGAAAATCTTTATTAACTTTAACTCTAAAATCTGTGGACATATTGAATAGCTTGAGTGCATAACAAAAATGGTCAACCAGCAGTACCATGAAACTGGAATTAAAATGATCCCATTAGTTTTTTTGTAATATTCTTTAAATCCAGTCTTTGCACTATTTACCTTAGAAAACAGTTTACAAAGAGTATGCTTCTAAAACTAAAGGAAGAACACTGTTCCAGGCACGGCTTATATTTTCATATACATGTAACATGGTCAACTCTTATCAAGTGTACAACCATGACATCAAAATAAGCCTTTAAAATAAATAGTTTCTCTGCAGAGGATGTCCATTCTTGCTTGCAACACGGTCCCACTTTGCTCACTCTGGGGGCTTCTTCTTGGCTTCCACATCTTTCTTAAAAGCTTCGATTTTCTTGGCTATGTTGGGCACCTAGAGGAGAAAGATACAAATTACAACTACCAGTAATAAAGTCTGAGAAATGTATAGGTTGTGGTTTGTTAGAGGCACCAAACTAAAACTAATGTAGTGTAAATTAACTGATCTAAAGTACATTTTTCATAAAAAAAAAAAATACAACATTCAGATTTTTGCTGTAAGCTTCAAACTTAAATATCTATTGTAGCCATCTTACAAAGGTGGGAAATAATAGATACAGCCAGGACTGCAGAAAGTGGCACTGAACATGCAGTTGCAAGAAAATATTTGAACCCTTTGGAACAACAAAGATTACTCAGAAAATGTGTTACGATCATCTCAAGTCATAACTTTTACAGCACCTTGGTCATTTTGATCAATTGAGGTCGTTTAAAATGTACTATAGAAATTGAACTTGACAGATTGTAGATGTAAATAAAGACATTCAAAGTCTGGTTACAGACAATTAAATACGGACCATTTACAACAAGGAATGGTAATGATGGAAATCTTTGAAATATTGCACAACTTGCACTGCACACCAACACACTAAAGGGAACAACATGGTTTAAAGCTGCTTTTAGGGAACAATAAATTTAAAATTGTATCAAGAAAAAGAAAAAAAAAAAAAAAAAGTGTAGAGACAATAACCCAAATCCCACAAGTAAACCAACCAGAGTCCAGATCATAATCCAACTGAGATGTTCTGGTTGTTCAAAAAAGACATTCAAGAAACACAAAGAATGCAAAAACTTGAAATGTGCACATATACCGTGTTTGTGTTTTAATAGCTCAGTCAGGATGCGTTTCTATACATAGATAAAGGCAACGACCTTACAAAACTGCAGTTTCACACATCAGTCACTGAAGGAATAAAAGGCTCCAGCCAGCATCTATTCACACCAGATACGTTTTGGTTTGGGGTTAGTGGAGCACATGGGTTAAAGTGACATTTTCACTAAATCATTGGAAAAAAAAAAAAAAAATGTTTGCAAGTCACAAAACACACTTACTTCATAGTTCTGAGCGAGATACATCCCCACAACATTTCCCAAGGTGAAGCCAGCCTGGAAGAAAAACAAAGTTCATTAAAACCCTTTAAACTAGTGTGAAAAAAACAACAACAATTTCACAGGATTCCACAACGTTCTGTGAAAAACTAAGCACACCCCATTCAATAGCCTTGTATTCTGTATTACTTTATCAGTCTGTCACATCGTTGTAGAGGAATTTTAGCCCACTCCTCGTCACAGCGTTGCTTCACTTTATTGAGGTTTGCTGACAATCGTTTGTTCACAGCTCTCTTAAGGTACCATCACCGCATTTTAATCAGGCTAGACTTTAACTGGGCCATTTCATCACATTGAGTAATTCTGTTGTAGATTCGCTACTGTAATCGGGATCATTGCCTTGTTAAATAACACAATTTTGGCCGAGGATGAGATGTCGGAACGATGGCCTCACCCTTCACTATAGACTACTTTAGAGAGGAGTTCACGTACTCAATGACTTCACGCTTCCAGGTACTGTGGCTGCAAAACAAGCCCAGATCATCAGCCCTCCCCTGAGTAATTCCAGTTTCTTTAAGCACTGCACGGTCTGACCTTGGGTGATTTTGCTGGATGATTGTGGCATTGTGAATGCTCTAGAGCAGAAATCTGGCAAACTTCAAAGTTTACACTTCTTGATGATAAATTAATAAAGTGGATTTGACTTGCACTGACAACTACCATGGGATGGATGGATGGATAGATTCTTTGTGGTGGTTGACAGTGACATTTATTCCTAATCATGAAACTCAGTTTCAATTTCAATCCAAACTAGCAGCACTAGCTGCACGGTTAGCATAATGCTAACATTTTTAACTCGGCTAGCTTCGCAACAGACGTCAACTTTTAAGGAAAATAATACAAATATAAAACTTACCAGGAACTGCAGCATGATGAAATACTGAAGACACTAGAGGTAAGCAAACTAACTCAATGGTACAAAAGCATGCAGGCAGGTCAAAGTTAGAAGGAGGGAAGTAGCCGAGTTTCTTGGCGAATGAAGCTAGCTTTTTATCAACAAAACGTCTACGCATGCGCAAGACAACTAATTGTGGCGTCATTTTCAGCGTCTATATGATGTAGTCTTTTCCTTATCCTGAGCCATACGTTTTCGAACATTGGAGAACTACAACTCCCAGCACCCCACAAAATCTCTCAGCCGTCTGGTGGGTGTTGTTGCAATGGTGGTGTCGGAGGGACATTGAATGACTTTGGCTCCATCACGGAAGAAATACGGGTTTATTAGGTTAATTCAGCATTCACGAGCATGGAGGCTCTTATACCCGTCATAAACAAGCTCCAGGATGTGTTCAACACAGTAGGGGCGGATATTATCCAGCTGCCGCAGATTGCAGTAGTGGGGACTCAGGTAAAAGGCTGACTGGGTGCATTTTGCTCAGCAGGCTGTCATGCTAGCCAGATAACCTTGTTTTAATGATATACATGTATGTAGGAGGACTAAGAGAGTAGCATTTACTGCACCGTGATACCGATTCGCATATCAAAATGACGCAAAGGCCGTGTCTGGGAGTTCTGCTAAATTGTCACTTCTTCTTTTTGACAGCTAATAAACAGATACGCAGAGTCTGACCTAACGAGAGCAATTAAGTCTATTTTGATCACCATTAATTATCTCCACATCCTCATCTAGCTTCTGTAGACTAAAACTAGGACATAGCCCGAGGAAGAGGTAGAGGTAGTTTGCTAAAAAAATATTTTAAACCCCTGGTTCCATATGTGTTTGAAATTCGTAAATCTTACCCATCACAAATAACTAAAAAAAGACACCTAAGCTATCAAAGAATGAACTAAAAGTAAACATTCTTACCGATTATAAGCTGCTACTACATACAAGCTTGTGCTAAAAGAGGAAGTTCCAAATAACAAGGTTGTATGTACAGGTAGACTGGATGAACCAAATTTCCTGGTTAAATGCTCCATTTCCTGCTGCCTCACTGACCTGATATTTTGTTTGCAAGGTGCAGCCAGTCAGGAGATTGGCCTTAAAGAGAGGGGAGCTAAAACTGCTTGTTTCAGACAGTAGATGAACTGAAGAGCTACATTAAGGCCCTGTATAGGCTAAATAAGGATAAATTGTGAATGATATAAAGCTGTAAAGCTACCAAGAATTTAAAAATGGGGTTGGAAAAGGGCATAATAGGTCCCCTTTAAACAATAAAACTGAACTATAACAAGCCAACTCTCTGGTGCTTTAACTCATATCTTTTTTTTGATGCACTTCTGCCTGCAGAGTAGTGGAAAGAGCTCTGTGTTGGAGAGCCTGGTGGGCAGGGACTTGCTGCCCCGTGGGACTGGCATTGTAACCAGGAGACCTCTAATCCTCCAGCTAGTCCACGTGGATCCTGGAGACACAAGGAAACATGATGAAGGTGGTATGTACTATGAACTGTAATAACCCTTTTTGGTCTTTAAACTTCTTTTCTTTTTTTTAATACAACACACACACACACACACACACACACACACACACATCCTTGTAATCTTTAGTATCCTGTGTGAAAGATTCCCTGCCCCAGTTTTAAAATCCTGTCTCTATCACTGTCTTTCAAACAACTTGCAGATGTCATGGTGTGAAAAGCACTGTACTTCAAGGAGGTGCATTGTACAGGTGTCTTAATGTTTAGTAACCTACATCACCTTCTTAGCTCTACCCCCTCCTCCTCCTCAAAAGCACTACCTGTGATTCCAGCTGCTTTTATTCACCACACCAGTAAATGTCACCAGGCATCAGTCCTCGCATTAACCGCCATCACGCTCAGGCTCCCGCGCAGAGTAGCTTCTTTAATAGCCAGCACCTGTGTCGACCTGCTTTAAGAATGTTTTTATTCTGGTTCACAGGCAGAGACACTGAAGAGTGGGGCAAATTTCTACACACTAAAAATAAGGTATGTGTTATTGTGATACTAAAAAGAATTCAGTCTGCTGAGCCATACTTGTTGTGATATTGTTGTTGTGGTTTTTCTTTACAGATCTACACCGATTTTGATGAAATCAGGCAAGAAATTGAGAATGAAACTGAGCGAATATCTGGGAATAATAAGGTGAGATGAGGGTTGAACATTTTCTAAAGCCCGTGGGGTCATTGAGGATAAAATCATTATAGGATATTTCTTCCTTATTTTGCTTGTCAGAAACCCAACTTTAAACTGTGGGCCACCTACAGTCAAACTAGGAGTTAGAATAGAACAGAATAGAATAAACCTTTGTTATCCCACAGATGAGAAATTTGGGTGTTACACAGCTCTTATAGCAGCGGGAAATATAAAAGGAAGACACAAAGTGATCCTATATACATAAGCAACTGAAGTTTGTATATACAGGTAACAATGTATAGAAAAAAATTGTACGGAGATATGAATAAAATGTACTGTACAAGATAACCAAAAGGATGTTAAACTGTGTTATAGAGTCTGACAGCTGCTGGTAAGAATGACCTGCGGTAGCGCTCCTTCCTACACTGTGGGTGTAAAAAGTCTACTGTTGAACGAGCTGCTCAGTGCTCGTACGGTCTCATGCAGGGGGTGGGAGGTGTTGTCCATGATGGATTATAGCTTAGACAAGATCCTCTACTCCCCAACCTGCTCGATGGACTCCAGCGGACAGTCCAGGACAGAGCTGGCCCTCCTGATCAGTTTGTTGAGTTTCCCCCTGTCCCTCTCTGCCATTCCATCACTCCAGCAGACCACAGGATAAAAGATAGCAGACGCTACCACAGTGTCGTAAAACATCCTTAGGAGTGTCCTGTTCACCCGAAGGATCTCAGCCACCGTAGCAGGTGGAGACGACTTAGACCCTACAATAAGGGTCTAAGTCGTCATTTGTGTTCGTGGACCAGTCCAGTTTGTTATTGAGGTGAACTTCCAGGTATTTGTACTCCTCCACCGTTTCAATGTCCAAACCCTGGATGTTCACTGGTGGCTTCTTGCTGAAGTCAATCTCCAGCTCCTTTGTCTTGCTGGCGTTGATGCAAAGATAGTTAGCAGGCCGTACATACAGTAATAAAAACAGAGAATTAAAATAATCCAGCTGCAGCACAACTTTTAAACTAAATGCTTTGAAAACGGCAAGTGAAAGTGTAACTCTGGTTTAGGTCAGTGACTCTAGAGGGTCAGTGACCCCCCCAGTTCTAAGTTACTAAGCTATTAAATCCACTCTCCACTTTCCTCTTTTCTTGTCCCTCTGCAGGGAATCAGCGATGAACCCATTCATCTGAAGATTTTCTCTCCTCATGTCGTTAACCTCACACTGGTTGATCTGCCAGGAATCACTAAGGTAACATTTGCTCCAGCTCCCCAAGACAAGTCTTTGATCATCGTGCACCCCAAGGGAAATTAATTGTACAACACCTCCTTTCTTAAAAGTTTTATTCATTAAAGAGCACTAAAATGCCTTAAAAAAAGCTTTACCTTATAAGCCTGGTCAGCAATGTTCATTTCTCCATCTGGTCAATGCTTTTGTGTATTTCATATTTGTAGATGGCTGGGAATTAATGTTTTTCAACCGTGTGCTATGAAAGCCTCAGGGTATCCAGGCTTTGATTCTAGCCTCATTAGTTGGTCCCCTCTGGTTGGACGTGTTAATTTGACAAAGTTCCTACTTTGTTGTCTGACTCAAAACAACGGGTGCTGTGTCTTTGCTTGTAATTGGAATTGCTCCTTTCAGGTGCCTGTGGGTGATCAGCCTAAGGACATCGAGATTCAGATAAGAGATTTAATCCTGAAGCACATCTCTAACCCCAACTGCATTATCCTGGCTGTCACGGCGGCTAACACAGACATGGCTACCTCGGAGGCCCTCAAGGTGGCCCGGGAAGTCGACCCAGATGGTAAGAAAAACCAAATGGGAGCCATGTTCTAAAACTAGTAAAATAAGGAGTATTTTAAAGGTGTAATCTAGTGGCAGTGGGTTATGGTGCCCTTTGCGAATGACTGTAATTCATCAGGCAGGAGGACATTGGCTGTGGTGACCAAGCTGGACCTGATGGACGCTGGTACCGACGCTATGGATGTACTGCTGGGCAGAGTGATCCCTGTCAAACTCGGCATAATCGGAGTAGTCAACAGGTCTCACAAACATCACACAAACCGCTACTCATAATGAGTATGATTTCATATCAGAGATGAATAGCTCAGTGGAGATGTCGAGAGAGGAGTGCCACATCAATTTTTAATGCTCCTAGTAAAGGCTAATGTCAGGATCTATTGTTTGTTTTCCTTTATCACTGTCATGCCATCGAGGGGAAGATTTAATAAAAACGTTTCAGTCTTTGTGCACATCAATCACCATTAGACTTCTGGGAAAAATACGAGAAAGTACCGTAAAACAGACCTTTTCTCGTAAATGTCTGTTTTTTTTTTTTTTCCTTTTTCTTTTTTTGGTACGTTTGAACTTTTAGGAGCCAGCTGGACATCAACAATAAAAAGTCTGTGGCTGATGCAATTCGTGATGAACACGCTTTCCTGCAGAAGAAATATCCATCACTTGCCAACAGAAATGGAACCAAGTACCTGGCCAGAACCCTAAACAGGTAAAAGTAACGGCACCCTGATGATTTAGACTTTAATGTCTAAATCACACTGAGACGATGATAGAAAGTTGCATTTTCTTTATCGAGCACCATTCAAAAGCTAGTTGGTGAAGTAGAGCCCAGATGATGTATCTGTTGGCTGATATTGGCCTATTGGAGATGATTCTGTTCTCGGGCCTGTGTTTATGCTGTCCTGTATGTGGCCATATGAAAATTAGTTCTAAAAATAAAAACAAGAAGTGTAAATGATGCTTGGGGTAATTTAAAAGTAGCTTTATTACATAGACTGACAGAAGCAGTGGGCTGCTTATATATTACACATGTTACTTCACATGAATGTAGAAAGA